ACGGTGTATTTGTATTTATTAACTAATAACTCTACGTTGCGTGTACGGTGTATTTGTTTATAACGTCGGCAAAAACAAAATGGCATAATGAACAATTACGCATGCCAGTGCTTGACGTGTACGTGAACAGTTCGTTGTTTGGATTTTTTGTGTTTATTTGACGAGTAAATAGTGGGCTAACCTTAAATCTGACGAATCGATCGACTTGTGGGACGAATCGTCTTTGGGACGAATCGACTTGTGGGACGAATCGACTTGGGACGAATGTGATTTGGGACGAATCGACCGTCCTCCCTATAATTATATGCACGCAATCTGACCCCTTGACCTAGATTTGGCTGGGATTGACTATTTTATTAGTCCCCGTTCGGACACAGTTCGAAAACGGGGACTTATGTTTTGCCCTGTGTGCGTCCGTCCGTCTGTCCGTCCGTGCGTCCGTCCGTGATCACCTGTATCTCGAACATGCATGGACCGATTAAGTTCAAACTTCACTCATACATCACACATTATATGGGACATATGCACATGCATTTTTTTCATGATCCGATTAACGATAGCCGAATAGCGGCCATTTTAAGGCCGAAAATGCATCAAAATCGCACATTTTCACCATTCCGGACCCGGATCTCAGTTATGCGTGGACGGATTTCATTCAAATTTGGTACATACATTAAACATAATAGGACCTTGATGCACGTCATTTTTTTTTTCGGATCAAGTTCGAAATAGCCGACTGGCGGCCATTTTGTTTTAAAGAATTCAGTTCTGGATCCGTATCCGAGACATGTCTGGATTGATCAAGTTCAAACTTCACACACACAAGGTACATCATGTCACAAATATGTATGTGCATTTGTTTCATGATCTCATTAACGATAGCCAAATGGGGGCCGCTTTAAGGCCGAAAATGCATTGAAATCGCACATTTTCACCATTCCGGACCCGTATCTCAGTTATGCATGGCTGGATTTTGTTCAAATTTGGTACATACATTAAACATAATAGACTTGATGCACGTCTTTTTTTTT